TTACAAATTTTATATTTATTTTTTATGTTGAGTTCCTTAAATCTAATTATTTTATTCCGAAATGAGAGGAGAACTACATATAGTATAAGATCAATCATACTTTTGAGAGTAGCGTTGAAAATTATGTAATCATAACTAAATATAACTACAACAGGTCAATGTATCAAGTATAAAATAGTTTTAATTAAATATACAAAAATTAGATGACTTAAAAAAATGTTTAAAGAAAGCAAATTGACAAACTTAAGTCATTTTAAAATTTACCTTAACTTACAAACTTTTTGTAACCTTAAACCCTAAAATGTTAAAATATATCTGCTGATATTGTGTTATTTAATCTCGCAAATACATAAGCATTTGCACACATACATAGTTATCGAAATGTATGTGATTTTATAAAGCTATTTTATTTTTCTGTATTTTAAGAGTATTTGTTGAAGTTGTTTATAGTTATCTTTTGCTTTTATATGGTTTATATTTTGTGCTGAATATATACAGTATACCAGTTTTTCACTCAATTTGAAGTTGAAACTATAACAATCCATCTTATGACATTTGAAGCCCCTTGTTGATGGAAATTTCGACAATACTGAGGTAAGATAGCAAAATTAGTCATAAGTTGGATTTTATAATACGATTTAATCATGTTCAAATTTCAATATTTTAATGATTTATGGTGTTTTGTGAGGGAATGTACAAACAGTATTTTCCCCTTTTACTCTTCCAACCAGGACGATTTTCGTACTCGTTTAGTTTCATAATATTTAATTGTATGTTAACTAGACCTTTAATAACTGACAATTCCATCCTCTTATGACTCTTAATACCTAAACTAAAAGGTTCTCTAACATACTTTTAAATCGACCCAAAAGGAACATGTGAACGTATTACACAAAATGTGAATAAAACTGAAAGAGGATGAATATGAATTATTCATAGCTACAATGAGAACGGGGTGAGAGGGGGGTTTAGCATTAGGTTGAGTCAGCAGAATTGAGGTATGACACATCGTAATGGTCTACAACCCACACTCATTAAGGTGTATGATGTATCGATACTGATGAGGAAATCTGCATTAGCTGTAACTAGGTATTTACGACAGATTAAAAGTGAAAACCACTTTGATTTGTACAAAATTGATTATGAATACCGAAGTAGACGTCCTACCGATATGGACCTAACTAAACCAAATTATTGAAATAGAACATGGTTGAATTATTTTTTTTTATTTAACAGCCTTGACGCGTTTAATATTCAATAGATGACACCTTACTTACGTTTGCCAGGTGTCAAGTGAAGGAAGTAAATCTGAAGTTTATGAAATATTCTAGTTGAAATATCAGGCAAATGGAAATTCGCTTAGTCTGCATGTTTGCTGCGACGGGGGAATTTCAATAATAGAACAGCTGATTTATTGAGCTGTATGCATCAGTGCCCTATCCAATGACGATTCTTGTAGAGTACTAATATTTTACTAAGTAATGTGATGAGAAAATATTTATTATTAAGATAAATTAGGAAATAGTTTACACTGCTCTAGTTTTAACAAGTTATAAAATTACTTAAGAATAAAATAATTATTTCAAATTTCTGAAGAAAAAAAACTGTTTGAATTCAATGTGAATTTTGATAATTTATCTTGGCCTGCTAACAATGTTGGTTTGAAATAACGGTAGCCAAAAACCTAATAAAGTGTAGTTTACTAATCTAATTTAAAGCCTAGATTAAATTCTCGCAACATTAAACTTTGACAACCAGCTCATTATAATGACACCTTGATTGCTGGGCTTATCTCTTTGAGAAATTATGAAAGCAAAAATGTTTAATGAAAATACTGAAAATTGCTCATTTACAATTTCTGGGCAAAAAACTTACTGGTCTTGACACAAATATTTTTTTTTAATTTTTTCACCTTAAATAAAAACCAATAAACACTATCAACACAGTGAATACACAAACCGAAGTTTGTTCCAGAAATCGATAAGTTCAATTATTAAATAAGTTAAAGGCATCCTCGCTTTAGAAGAATGTTTAATTTGCACTAACAGTGTGGCAGTCGGAATCCAATACCCCACGGCAGTTGTCACTTTTTGTTCTTTATGGTGCAACCATTTATAATGTTGTTTAAAAATAACTACGTTCAGAGTTGCTGTTACTTTTAGCAGTAATTCAATTAAAATATATGGTTTGGGTTATGTTCCTGCTCAAAATTATACTTGTATTTTCCCAGTCTCATATAGATCCTTAAGGGGATCTACCACCTTTAAATGACAATTTTTTTATTTAGTAAGTTAGACATTTTTCATGCAGGTATTATATTTAGGACCTTTATTTAATGAGCTTTTGAGGTTTTAAATTTAATTTCACCTTTTGGTTTTTTTTATAAAAATTTTTTAGCGATTTATTTTAGCGTTTTTAGGTACATTGCTAAACTTTGAATAACTTTTTTATTTTTAGATCAATTGTAATGATTATTGATTTATTTTTATCCTTATAATACCTAGAAACTTTTTGGTCATTATAATTAAAATACCATTTCAGAAAAAAAAGCTACAAGCAATTATATTTTTAAAATAAAAATTTTTATTTTACAAATTAAAAAAAAAATCATAGTTATTTTATTTTATTAGCTATACAATTTCTTATGACCAATTATCTCAGTAATACAACAAGGAACAAGTGGTAAAAAGTTTAATGGCTTATCTATATACTTTAAAAGTTATTCAAACATATGTAATAAGAAACACGGAAAAACAGAACTTGGCGGATCCCCTTAAGCGAATTGTGTATTAAAAAAAAAAAGTGTTTACGAGGTTAACATGAACAATGGAATACATTTTTACCTTTCAAATATTGGTATATTATAATTGTTTAATGCAGTCATTAGGCGTATAAAACTACTAATTTATAGTAAATTATATACCGTATTTGATTGTACATTCATCCCATAAATTTTTATTTACCTACCTCATGCAGGTTACATTTATCACTAAAAGTAGCCTTAGATATTTAAAATTCATTTTTATCAACTGTTTTATCGTCTCTTGTTAACTAGCTGACTGTAGTTAAAAATTCATTAAAACATCAGCTGTTAAATCACAGATTCACGTTAATGTGTTATAACCAAAGTTGGCAGGGCCGATTTACCGAATAGGCACGGTAGGCACGTGCCTTGGGCGCGAGGCAATTGGCTTTTTTGGGGGGCGCCAACAATTTGGTAAAATAAAAAAAAATGGTGTTTGCATGCGATCACGGTAAACTTCTGATAATCCCTCGCGGCCGTGTAAACATCGTAATAGTCACCCGCGTTTGCGGCAAGATTCTTACTATTTTCCGTGGTCGGGTCGTTTAGACATAATTATCGTCTTCCATGATCGAGGCAATACATAAGCATACCCAGCGGTCGTGAGGAAATTATCATCGTCTACCGTGAATGAGGCAAAATTCTGATCTTCTTCCCGCGGTCGTGAGGACATTATCCTCGTCTTGCGCGATCACGGTCAAATTCTGACCCCCCTTCGCGGCCGTGAAGACATCATTATATCGTCCCCTGTGGTCTTGTGGACAAAGTAATCGCCTCCCGCGATTGTGGCAAAATGGTAATTATCTCCCTCGGTCTTGTGGGGATCATCATTTTCTTCCGCAAATTAGGCAAAGTTCCGACCTTTTCCCGTGACCGTTTGGCCATTATCATCGTTTTCCGTGATCACGACAATATCTGATCATCCCTCACGGCCGTGTATAAATCATTATCGTATCTCCCGCGGTCCTGTAGACATCGTAATCGTCTCCCGTAGTCGTGAAGACATCGTAATCGTCTCCCGTAGTCGTGAAGACATTGTAATCGTCTCCCGCGATTGCGGAAAAATGGTAATCATTGTCTTCCACGAATGAGGCAAAATTTTCCCCACGGTCATGTGGACATTATCATCGTCTTGCGCGATCGTGGCATAATTCTGATCATCCCTCACGGCCGTGTAAAAAACATTATTGTATCTCCCGCGGTCCTGTAGACATCGTAACAGTCTCCCGTGGTCGTGAATACATGGAAATCATCTCCCGCGATTGCGGCAAAATGTTAATCATGTCCCGCAGTTGTGTGGAGATCATCATCGTCTTCTGCAATCGCGGCAAAATTCTTGCTGTTTCCCGCGGTCGTGTGGACATTATCATTGTCTTCCGTGATCGTGGTAATATTCTGATCATTCCTCGTGGCCGTGTGTAGACATATTATCGTCTCCCGCGGTCACGGAAACATCACTGATGTTTTCATGTGCGATCACGATAAATTGAAAACTCTAGGTAGAAATACAAAATTCAGACATAATTCCCGGTTCAAAAAATTCCCGCATGATTTCCGGATTTCCTGGTTAGTGGACACCCTTTTATATATATTGCAAAGGGGCGCTACTGTTAGTTGTGCCTAGGGCGCTGACAGGATCAAAAACGGGCCTGAAAGTTGGTCAGCATAACTGAAGATTTGAAAGCGAACTTTAGAAATAAATCAAACGTTAGGAAGGCGAAGCACTAAACGAAACTACCTTTTCAGTTCTATTCATCTCTAAATTAGCTTTAAAATGACACCTCAATCGTAGAATCGGTTAAGTAGGATGGCTGAAAAATGCATGTAACTGGGAAAACCCTTATTGTATCAAGTATAGAAGATCCTTGATTACAGATGAATATGTATTTAACTCATATTTTTTCCCTCAAATACATAGAGCTCTGGATTCACATACATTTGCAACGTCTTTTGGAGGAAGGACACAGCTTCTTGACTAAGGTTATGAAAAGATGAAAATTAAAATCTGCAACAGTCCAGTAGTTGTGTTGTCATAAAGTCGTTATTTAACTGACTTGAACTATGCAATAAATAAAAGAATCATCCTACAGCTGAATCACACGCATACTGTACCAAATATGAACACTGACTCCTTAATGAAAATAGCCATACAGATACAATATAAAATAAATTTATACTTATTATACATAATACTTACGTCACATTGCTGGATAGCACATACAGTTCAAACCCTCTGCAGAACTGCCACTGGAAGAAAAAAAGAAAATCTTTAGAACCATAAATGTAATAAGGAATAAAAACATGAAATTGTTCAACTTAAAATTGTGATATTTAACTAATATAACCAATATTATTATAAGTCTAAACGTTCCCTTCCCCCAAAAAATTAAAAAAAAAGGATATTTTACCTAACAAATTTTATCTTGAAAGATGAGTACATTAAAATGTAATACAATTTTGCAGGTTGTTTATATTTTTCCCTAAGAATAAGTAAAGCATGAGTAACAATTTTTGATCCTTTTAAAATATTTTAAGATTTAAATTATATTATAAAATTTGACATTTTTATAGAAAAGGCTCAATTCTATTTGGAAATAATTTAGATTGACATTAAAGAAGTTATTGTGACAAAACAGAGTAAAGCAAAAAGCGCAAATAGGTTTAAAAGCCACTCTGAAACTACGTGTTGCTTTTATCTTTTAGAACAAAGTGAATTACAGTATATAGTGAATGTACCATTTGACTACAAAGAGGATGGCACAATTATTAATAAAACGACACTTCATAGTTCCATCATAGTGCCAACAATAATGGTATCAATATAGGTTAGAAAAACCCTTTAAATTTGCCACCAATAGTGCCGCAACAGATATAATCGTCCATAGAGATCGAGTAGGCCTAATAAACATTTTTAAGAAGACTAAAACATATAATTAAATTTAAAATGCATTTATGCATTAGGTATAAGGTCTGCAGTGAGACACATAAAATGGAATCAATAAGGCACGAATCTAAAATTAAAATTTAAAATTCAGTAATTTTACAGTAATTTTAGTAAATGTTTAGCATGAAAAAATTAGGGCCTAATTAGAGTTAATAAATTTATAACCAAGTATTTGTCATGAAGGTTTAATTTTTTTCTTAAAGATCTCTAAAGTTATTCCTGTCCCTAAATGTCACAGAAATTTAATTAAAAAAAGTGTTGCATCTGCTCAAAATTATTTTTTGTTTGAGCCTGCGGTTATCAGTGAGAATTTTATTTTATTTCCGATGGAAAATATTTGGCTGTCGTCCAGCCTGAAAACTTTATTTTCTTACATAGTTAATTTTATATTACATATTTTATGAAAAAAAACATTAAGGCTATAGTAATTATGCCCAAACTAGAACAAACATGCGTAGTATAAAAGATACAATAAACGTAGTTTGGACTGTTTCCTAACTACAAACATGGAAATGCAAACACAAAATGAAAAAGGACCAAAACCTTCATCAACTGTGCTCGTATAATTGTTTCACACAGGTAAGGCAGAGAATGTGCTAATATCGTTTTAACAACTGGGACCACAGTTTCAGGTGACTGCTGCTAAAAGCATTATGAGACTCATGGGGAATATTATTTACATTGGATGTACAGTAAAGGCTTCGTTGAAACACTCTGTAACATTCATTTTATGAATCACATATTCTAACAATGACAAGAACTGTACTTTTTTTAAATTTCTATGTTACTCTTATGGAAAAAAACTTTTTTGTAGTTTGCTTGTTTATGGAAATATTTTGATCACTTATGGCAAACCTGTTTATTCTATCCTGCACTATTAACATTTTATAAAAAAAACTTTTCCCCTTCCACGTAGCAGCAAACCTAAGTACTTGTTAAATCCAATGTTATCTAAATCTGGAATAAATTTGACTTATTTGTAGAAATATTTGAGTTAAAAGAATTTCAGACATATGAAATTCGCTTAGTTTACAGGTGAAGGGAGTATTTAGAATAATATTTAGTTTTATATGTAATATGCAATGTATAATTTTTTTTTATAGTCTCTTAAACATTATCCATAATTGCCTATTAATGCAGCTATGATGGCTTAAAACAAAATAAATAATTAACGATTGACTGTCAGTTGAGGATTTTATAAAAGTTACTGTCATTTTAATAAAAGTAAAGGCAGTTATAAAAAGTGTTTGTATGTAACTAGGTACTCATAACAGTAGAACTTGAAACATTCAGTTTCAGCTATGGTATTGAAATCCCTGTCTCATTATAATCAATAATTAGTTCAATTTACGAATACTCACAGGTATTTTATTTTACTAAATTAACGTTTTTAACATCTGAGCAACTGAGTAGCAACAATGAATCATTCTTTCTCAGAGAATGAGTGATTTTTCATCTATTCATCATCGTTCATCTTTTTTACCGTACAGCATTGTGCAGAAGAATTGATGCAACCGTGATTTTTCTACAACTGAGCCTTTTGAAATTTAAACAACTGAGTCTTATGCTACATAGTCTACAGTCAATCAAAAAGAACGATTACCATCAACTAGCGACTCTCTATGAAACATAGAACATTGTTGAATGAGAACGCCTGAGTGAATCTAATCACCATTTTGTACAACTGAGTCTTATGCACATTGTCTTTAGTCGCTCAGAAAGTACGATTACCATCAAACTAGCGACTCTCTATGAACCATGGAACATTGTTGAATGAGAACGCCTGAGTGAATCTAATCACCATTTTGTACAACTAAGTCTTATGCTCATGTCTTTAGTCGCTCAGAAAGTACGATTACCATCAACTAGCGACTCTCTATGAACCATAGAACATTGTTGAATGAAAACGCCTGAGTGAATCTAATCACCATTTTGTACAACTGAGTCTTATGCTCATTATCTTTAGACGCTCAGAAAGTACAAACCATCAACGAGCGACTCTCTATGAACCATAGAACATTGGTGAATGAGAAGGCCTGAGTGAATATAACCTCCATTTTTGTACAACTAAGTCTTAGGCTACAGAAGCTACAGTGGATCAAAAAAAGAACGATTACCATTAGAGAGTGACTCTTCACATACCCCAGAATATTGTTCAGTGAACATCTAGGTGAATTTAATCGAATACAACCAAGCCTATTGCCAGAAGGAACAGCATCTCAACAAAGAACTACTCTATCAAAGAGCGACATCTTCATCTGCCTTGACACTTTAAGTTTAGCAATTGCATCAAGTCAACTTTAGACAGACGAGTGTAACTAGACGGAATAATTCCATAAAATGTGACATCTTTCTATGGTACAATAATTGATTTGGTTGGTTTACTAATATTGAAACGCTAATACAAAACGATTAGGTATTAACTTTTAACAAATAAGTTCAAAATGTAAGATAAAATTTGCCTTGTAACATAAAAAAAAAATGGTATCTTTAAAAGTCTTATAACATTTTATAGGTATAATATTTTACCAATTAGATGATCTCATACAATTATTGAACTAGTGCAAGGTTATAAAGATATAAACTGGGAAAATGTATTCAACTACTTTAAATAAACCAATCAAATTCAGTAAAAGAAAAAACACACAAAAATATATTTAGATAAAAAAGACTAACAATTATTTTAAAAAACTCAAAAACGTAAAATGTAAACAAATGCAGAATAACTATGCGATTACAAACTTAGACGTAGTTTTTCGATTGTCTTTTATGAGTCTTTGTTTTAAATTGAAACTTAGATTACATCCTTGCCTTTCATGTAGGCCTAGTTATTTATGTATATCTTACATGACAATATAGAGGTATAATGATAAAGATATCTGTTTATTGTACAAAAACTTAATTAAATATTTTAAATCACCCTCATTGTTTTGCCAGCCTCATTTTAAACCTTCGAATAAAAGCAACCGTATTCCATCCATATTGCTTATTACAGGCTTTGAAAAAGTACAACTGTTTGTACGAATTGGAACCAAACTGTTGTTAGATTGAATAAATTTAAAATTTTTTTTTAATTTATAGAGATATATTTCACCAACAATCAGGGATAAACAGTTCATAGCGTAAAGTGCTATAATCTTCATCATGCTTAGTATAAAATAACGGGTGTAGATCTAAGTGTTTGATGTTGTTTATTTATATCGTTACACTTTTACATTGTTTGTTACTGGCTTAAGAGGAACATCTCAAAATGAAAATGGAAAGATAAACGAATTTTACACGGTCTTCAACCGAATCCTACTTCAAAGTCAATAGTGAGGATATTTTTACCACCAAAGTAAGAGTAGTCAATATAAGGTGCTAACATAAGATGAACAAATTTTACTTACACTGTCTTTAACCAAATCCTACTTCAAAGTCAATAGTGAGGATATTTTTACCACCAAAGTAAGAGTAGTCAATATAAGGTGCTAACATAAGATGAACAAATTTTACTTACACCGTCTTTATCCGAATCCTACTTCAAAGTCAATAGTGAGGATATTTTTACCACCAAAGTAAGAGTAGTCAATATAAGGTGCTAACATAAGATGAATAAATTTTACACGGTCTTCAACCGAATCCTACTTCAAAGTCAATAGTGAGGATATTTTTACCACCAAAGTAAGAGTAGTCAATATAAGGTACTAACATAAGATGAACAAATTTTACTTACACCGTCTTTAACCGAATCCTACTTCAAAGTCAATAGTGAGGATATTTTTACCACCAAAGTAAGAGTAGTCAATATAAGGTGCTAACATAAGATGAATAAATTTTACACGGTCTTCAACCGAATCCTACTTCAAAGTCAATAGTGAGGATATTTTTACCACCAAAGTAAGAGTAGTCAATATAAGGTACTAACATAAGATGAACAAATTTTACTTACACCGTCTTTAACCGAATCCTACTTCAAAGTCAATAGTGAGGATATTTTTACCACCAAAGTAAGAGTAGTCAGTATAAGGTGCTAACATCGAGGGAGCGGATAATGCAAAGATAACATTGTCACAGAGTTAATCCTTGGGTGAAGCAAGCCGCAAGTAAGAGCCGAGAGCCGAGAGCTGGTTTAAATGTACAGAACATTCATCTTGATTACATTCGCTCAAGAAGAATGCGCTCCATACATGACATCAGCCATTGTACTCCCTAAAACGCTCTCCAGATTGCCATTTCACATCTCAAACGGTCATTAGGAATCGGTGGTTCAGCTTGCTACCGTAAATTGTAAGAATTGCGATATCTTTTGTTTGTGAAATGA